TGTAATGCATGCTGAATTGTTCAGATGCACCTTGAAAGTTGAAGAGGGGATAAGAAATTCAAACGCCGTATTGAAGAGCTAAAGAAAGCAACTTTCTGAACGTCGTAAACATCACCCTCTCTTGTTGCTGCATTACCAGTTATAATCTGTACCGAACATCCTCCCTAGGAAGAAGCCGAGAGAGACTCCGACGATAGCAAAGGCGAGGCCACAATTCACAAACCTCCATGCAGTCCGGCAAATCAAATGCCCATTACAGACTACTATGTGACACAATAACACTAATTTTAGTTAATGGTTAATGGTTTTTACGGCCTCTCTGAAGTGACCCTCCAATTTGGCTGTGCTATCTAGAAACTGACGTCGTACTTATGCCCGCAAACATATGCCTCAGCGTGCCCAACACTAAGCCAAAGTAAAGTTGAAAATGCACGGCATTAACGATGTTTGTAATATTCGGATTAATTGGAATCCATGCCAAGAAAGGTTTGGCTACCATGAATATGTAAAAGAGTACACCCTAAAGGCCATATCAATAATGCCTTAAACCTATTCCTACGCCTACTACATCAGCTATTCAAGAAGTAGCCTTCAGAGTTACACATCAAGCAACACTCTTGGAAAGAAAAGTAATGTCAGCCACAAACGGACATACTAAGCACCACCAAACCTCTATTTTGAATTATTATACATTCGGGTTTAAAACGAAAAGTGTATCCATTTGCGTAGTTGAGCAGAAGCAAGCAACCCCAAAAAAGAAACGCGCCCAAATTTTTCCAAATGATGAGTAACCTATAAGATTTTATCCCTTGCCCCAAATTATGGATGTCTTTGTAATATATTGGCTGTTTGATTAAAAGATCTAATTACGACATCTTGGGTGTCCACACTTGCCTTAGCCCGGTGGAATGGAATCAAAATCATGCCAACAGCCTTAACACCACTTCCATTTCCTGGTAAGCACATTATACACAGGTAATACATTCTTACGTCTTTAAAGGATTCTAAGTGTAATGCTTTGTTTATGTGACTAGCTGACGTTCGACGGTCACTTTAGGATTTGTCTTGCCCCTGTACACGTGGGCTGACCTTCGGGCCACGCTCAGGCCCATTTGCCCTGTCGTCTTCGGAATACATGTATCCAGCTGCACTGACTGATTTCTTATACCGGCTAGGAAGTCTCGGGACGCTACACTAAGGGTGCCAAACACTTCACTTCATAATCGTCTCAGTTCACGGAACTAAATTCTGAGCCGAATTGGGCGATGCAAAATGGAAAGAAATGTGGGCAGCGTACTGGAAACTAAAAATTATGAAAATAAACCAACTTAATTTAGCAGTCCGAATTCGTTTATATCCACAGACTAACTTGCTTGGCGAAGGGCATATGGCTAGCTAAATGGCTGTATCTGATACACAGATTTCAATATTAATGGTTACTCAAAGCGTGTTCACTGTATTGAGCAAAGACAAACTATGCTGTGCTTAACGGGTCTGGATTCCTTACAGCCACCTTAACTTTTCGTTATCAATAAGTGGTCAAGTCTGATAAAACGATAATTTTGTTTTTTTCAACTAATGCTTGTGTAGCGTCCCGAGGCTTCCAATGGGGTAGTAGAAGACATAAGTGAGGTTGAATACGTGCATTCCAAAAGTGATAGGAGAAATGGGGCCTGAGTGTGGCCCGAAGGCCAGCCCACGTGTACAGGGCCCAGACAAGTTCTAAAGTGACCGCCAAACATCAGATAGTCACATAAACAAAGCATTACAGCTTGCACAATTTGTCACTCATAAAATTTTTAATTGTAGTAGTAAGGCTTGGCTTGCAAAACCTGGTGAGTATATCCGAAACTTAAAATCGTTACTGAGGCCAACTGTACACTCTAACTCCTAGTGCAGCATTCAAATTTCAAGAATGTACGATTTGTAATCTATATATCAGCCTTAAATAAGTTGTACGCACATACTAATGCTTCCCATACCTTTACTCCCGGCATTTGTTTTATTTGGTCATCGCAGACTTGCCGGGTGTTGCGCAAGTTCAAATTCTTGTCAGCTATGACTGACGCGGAGGAGCCTGAGGAAGGTGGGGCGCGGGCGGTAAATCCGTACAAAATGGGCACCTACGATTTAGTGCGCATGAGAATAAACAAGCTAATGGAAAAACCGGTTAGTCCTTATCCAATTAAGCTGGACAGCCTTGTTCCTAATCTAACTAACAATTTTCC